TGCCCAACTTCAGACTAAAGGGACTGAAGGGAGTAAACCAGCAGCCTCAGCATTCCCAGGACAACAGGCAAGTCTGAGGAGAATCAGAGAGGTCAGCCTCAAGCTCCTGATCTGCACAGGGGCTGGAATCGACCAAAAATCCAATGAAAGATGATTGAAAAGAACCTGAGAGTGAGGTAGCTCAATTGATGTTTACCAATTGCATCAATTTATCCTGCTGAGCCTGAAAACAAGACACCACATATTGAGGGGGAACTTCTACCGTTAGTATCAATATCTTCTACCAATATCTCATCTGTAAAAGACTCAATCAATACTCAGCATGAAACCCCGTATCTAGTCAGCAACACCATGAACAGCAATACCATGTTTCTTTAAAGGGGTTTGACAAGCTCCATTTGAGGAAGGATGAAGAGAAACTTCAAAAGTCCACGTCAATTATTATTTTTGTGACTAAAGAGCCAACATAAAAGTAGCCACAGCAGATCACAACAAAGGTCCTTTTAGACCTAGTATAATTTTTGAAATGGTGGCAAAAAGCAGAGGCCAGAAAGAACACAGAATAGGACAAGCATATATAATATTGCTTTTTCTATTCAAAATGGATGGGGTTTTTACACATTTGGCTCCACCTCCACCTCTGAATCTGCTCTTTCTCCTCTTCAACACAAATACTTCTAATACCCACCAACATACTCTGGTAAGCTCTCCAACTCAGTTCTTACAAAGAACAACATCTTTTGGTCTTGCTGAATCAGGGTCTTGGTAGCTTCCCTAGACCCCCAGCTCTCCTGTGGGAAGAACAGACTGTGCACCTCTGCCTGTTCTTTTCCTGCCACTCAAGATCCTACAGGCCTTCATCACAGCCTCCTCAGACATCCCTTTCCAGGGTGAATTTTGAAGTCCAGCTTTCTTGATCATTCTTCATTTGGAAGGGGGCCTGTGTCTGTGACCATTCTTGTTTTGCTTCTCTGAACCTCACTCACTTTTACTCTGTTTTGTGAGCAGACAGAGCAGGGGTGACCCAATCAAGATGTTTGGGGTGAACCATGGATTAACAAGTGTCATGACAAAATCCTTTGCTTTGTTCTTTACTTGTTTCTCAGTAATATTCACTGGTTTTTCTACCTTTCTTACTGCTGCTTAACACTGTTGTTATGTTTTCATGGAATCATTCATAAAAACTACAAGATACTGCTCATTACTGAGAAGTAATGGGAAGTTAGGATTCTCTTTATGCTATCTGAATCCCTCTACTTAGACTGAACTCATGTGCCAGTATGTTGCACTATCCAGTTACTCAGTTTTACAGGGCTCTTCTGCAGCTTTTCATAGCTGACCCTCTCTTTACAACCCATATCCTGGCAAACACTATCACCTTGTTGCTCACTGCCTTTTCTAGGCTGTATGAGCAAATTCAGAAGAAGTAAAATTATTCCAGTCTTACTGATCACAAGCTGACTAAAACTGGTGTCCTGGATCAGGCTGATCTGGCTCCCCAGTGCTCTGCTTTCAAGAGCAGCCATCAGAGATCCTCCACTGGGAGAGCACATGAACCTGGCTGCTTCCTGCAGTCCGTTCTCCACACACACCCAGCAGCCACCACAGTACATTGTGGACCTCCCTGAGCAGCTCTTTTAGCAGCCCTTCAACAGACCTCTTGTCCATTTTCTGACTCATTCCTGAATCTGCTCACGCTGCCACCACAGTGCCCCTGTCATCCTTCCTTGTGTCCACCTGAAACTACCTCCCAACAGCCCCAGCATGCAATTCCCATTCCAGTGCCTCAGCACTGGATGAACAACTCTCACTTTACTCACTGCCTTCATTGCATAACCCTGGTCATGCCCGAGCTTTCCTCTTAAGGAAGCTGATCCCCTGGTTCCTTTCAGTTGCCCTCCCCTATCCCACTGTGTCCTTCCAATGCAGAGACTGGAACCACACAAACTACCCCAGATGTGGGTGCACCAGCTGCAGCAGCAAAATGGTGCTCTCTGTCTTCTTCTCACTATCTCTCTCAGGACAGTCACCATTTTCCTGGCTCTCTGGCTGCCACAGCACACTGAGCTTAGGTTTCCAGGGAACATTCAGTGGTAACTCCGAGCACTTTCTCTTGATTGGTGGCTGCCAGTCTCGAGTTCACCACCATGTGAGCATAGTTTAAATTATTTTACCCAAGACATCATCTTACTTTATGTACACTGAAGCTCCTGTGCCACCTTTCTGCCTCCTTCCTTTTTTGGCAATTTCTTTTTGCCTTCTTTATAATTTTTCAACCCAACCACTTCTGCATGTAAGAAATGTCTTTGATGCTACACACATCCACTCTCCTCAAAAGCCTCTAGTATGGTACTTTTGTTTTAATGCTTCCTGCAGATCCACATCACCTGCGTCTACAACCCTACTCAGTAACCCTGAGTAAAAGCTGATGAGTCTTGGAGGTAGCAAAACTCTGAAGATGTACCCATTCTCAGAGAGAACCAGCCCCTAAGGTACTAACCCGTAACACAGACAGGCATTCTCTTCTGTGGATAAAAAACTCTGAGCTGAAGGAGACACACAAGCATTTTACACCATCCATGGGAAGCCCATACACCCCAAGCCATTCCTGAAATGTCCTGCTGCCCTTTTTCTGTCACCATCCACTACTGCTGGTCACTCAGCAGACACTCTAGCACACCCTAAGAGGTCTTGAGCATGCTGAAGAATATCATAATGAGCATTACAGGATTTATGCCTTTGAGTTTATATTATAAAATTCAGCTGATGTCAGAAATTTGCTGACTGACAAAACTGGTCTTTAAGCAACTCTGTTCCACTCAGCCAATTGAAATTTTATTGAAAAAGTAAAAGAAAAAATGCCACTTGGAAAAGTGGTGCTGATACATGAATGAAAGCCAGAATCTAAGTCCTGTAAGTACAGACAATGCTGTAGTGGGGGACTCTCTACAAATCCATTTCCCACAGGACTACAAAAGATAAAACCTTTTTTTCCACATGTTTAGTAAGTATCATCTTTAAACAGCACAGCAAACCACAATAAAACTGTGCTCTTGACTTACAAACACAATAAAAACTCACATTGGGAATTTGGTGGAGCAAGCCCATGCACTCAAGTCAGGCCTGTTGCCTACTCTAACAGCATTCTTTGGATGGTCTCTCCAGAAAGCTCAAATGCTTCAGGGATCATGGGTTTCACATAACATGTCTAAACCAATGCCTTCTAAAATATCTTGTGTGCTTATTAACTGATCTATCTGGAAGTGCAATATCCACAACTTGAGATCACGTGGGGAGATATTAACTGACAGACTGACCAAAAGAAAAGAGTGGCAGCCCTCAAAATTCCAGCATACCCAAATCCCTAGAAGGGCCTCTAGTAGTGGTTCACTCGTTGGACAACCAAGTACCCCAGGTCCTGAGCTGCAGATGGCTCAGGGCCACGAAGGCTTCAAGGCCACATGTGCTCAAACATTAAGTTCAAAAGAATGTGAGGTGAGATAACACAATTACCTTAAAGCATTGTTTCAAATCCCTCGCTCTTGCTGATTAAGACAACTTTAACTAAAGGAAACCAAAACCTGCAGAGAGGAAATGTGTCACTGATTACAGATCAGAACTGAATTTTAGAGTCCCCTCTTGCAGAGGCAAACTCACACTGCTCTGGTAAGAAGACAGCAGATGCACATACTACACTTCAACCTTTAACTCGGCTTACTCATCACATCACACCTTTTCTTCAACACAAAAAAGCCTGCAATTAGCCATTGTCATTTCCTGATGGTCATCAACTCTACTATTCAGATAGCAAACATTACTATAAATATTTTTCTTCTAAAAAACAATTTAACAAGTTTTTGCTAATAACCTATTTCAAAAACAAGCAAAAAAGAAAAAACTGATCTATAGTCTACAGGTAACACCAAGCTTAGGCTTCTGCTGCAGCAAACAAAAATATTATTTTTGCAAACCAGTCACCTTCCATCTAGTAAGTGTTCAGTTTCTGCTCTTCCTTGATCTTTTTGAAGGCTGGTCCTGAATATCAGTGCTCTCTGATGGTTAGAAATTTTCATGCATTATTAATCTTAAAACCTACGTTACATTATTCATGTATTAACATGATCCTTTAGCTCAATTTATTTCCCCCATGGTGTTTACCTTCATGATTAAACAGAAAGCAAAATTACAATTATTCTGCAAAATTAAAAAAAGCCAAATGCCCTTCCAATAGACTTTCAATTTCCCTACTTGACCTCGACAGAGCTTCCTGTTTCTGTTCCAGTTTTTTTGCTGAGAATGATTACCATTATACAAAGATTTCTAGAGTTCTGCTCATGGATAACAGTAACTCCTTTAACTGGAACACTGTAGTAAGCATTTACTTTTTCTGCAATTCAATATCTTGTAACAACCTAACATTCTTTGGTTTTGCATTGCTTTCAACTGGTAGGAATTTCTTCTACAAATCTTTTGCTTGCAAGGTTACAACTCTAAACCCTCAGTCTTTAAATTGTTATTTAACTTATTTCATACCCTAGTTCTCAGGATCACCCAATTCTTTCTGTGTAGTACTATAACCCTCTTCCATACTGTCAGTGCCTCCCAACTCCCCATCGCTATCAAATTAAGACAGTAAAGTTTTAATTGCTACATCAAGACCTCTATTAACTATTTAGTAAGACTGGTCTTAAGACTGATCTTCAAAGAACTAATTTTATACCCTGTGATACTCAGATTTGATGGATTTTCGATTCAATATTACTCACCATAGTTTGTTTCTAGTTACTTCCCTATCCTGTCTACAATTCAGGTGTTGTCCCTACCTTTTCACCACAATAAACGCGAGCAGCAGCTTTAGTGTGGTCTAAAAAATTAAAAAGGGAACTATTCCATTTCCAATAAAAACAGTAATTACTTCATCAAAGACAGGTTAAAAGATGTATTTCAGTTCCACTCATCTTGTTTACCCCTAGAAAGCACGTTCAGAGCCGCTCACTTACCAAGGCCCTGTCAGCAGCGGCCGCGCCCCGTCCCCCTCCCCTCCCCTGAGGGCTGGCACTGCTCCCGCTCCTCTCCCACCAAACGGCATCACAGCGCTCCAGCTCTCCGGCTGCCGGGCCGGGCTCTCCCAGGGCCCGTCCCCGGGTCCCTCCCCAGGCCCGGCACAGGCCTGTCGGGGTGACAGCGCCCTGCCCTGCACCGTGCCCTGCCCGGCCTCCCCGCCGCCCCGGCCCCGCGGTCCCGGCCCCGCTCCGGCCGTACCTGCGCGGGGCTCTCGGCGCCTTACCATGGGGTAGTTGATGGGGAGGTGTTCCAGCAGAGGTTGGACTCGATCTCAGAGGTCTTTTCCAGCCTTTGGTCTTTTCCAAACCTGATTCTGTGATTCTGCGATTTTGGCGCTGTTGTGTGTGCTATGCCTATAACACCACAAAAATCAGCAAGCTAAAAATTAAGGCAAAAGTACAGTGCTACAATGCCTCTGTCCCTGCCTCATCTCAGCACCAAGGTTCTCTGAGAATATGTGAATGGAAGTGGGGGTGAGAGGGGAGAAAGAGTGGGAGCTAAAATTATTTTATTTCACCCAAAATATTAGTGTAGCCTTTTTTTTGGATGGATGATACCTCAGCAGGGCAGTAAGCAAACCACAACAGTCTGGTCTGCTTGGAAGGATCAGAGGAAATGCACGCCTTTCCCAAACAATGCCTAGGTGGCAATAGCCTGTTCAACCCTCCCCTTTCTGCTTGAACAGTGTCTGGGGAAACGGAAAACAAAACAAAAAAGCATAGTCTCAGCACCCATTCTCACTAGTAACTAGATTTGTAAAAATTCTAAAGAACAATGCACAAGGAAGGAATGACAATGAAGGTTTTTGGTTGGTTTGTGGTTTTTTTTTGTTTGTTTGTTTGTTTTGGTTTGGGTTTTTGTTGTTTGTTTGGTTTTTGGTTTTGGGGTTTTTGTTTGTTTAGTTTCTTTATAATTCAAGACTTCAACTATGGGTTTATTATTTTCAGACAATTCATTTTGAAAGACACTATCTAAAATAAATTATTAAGGTCCTCTTCTCTTATTTTCTCAAATGCACAGTCATCTTCATTTGGCCTAACTAAAAATCTTTTCCTTGAGATACAAGGAAAAATTTGAGATACAAATTTGTACATGCAGTGGAACAAATAAAATAAACAGTTAGAGGAGCATATGCATTTCAGTAATTATAGGTAGATACAAACAAGCTAGAAAATCTCACAGAATACAGTTCAGGCTGATCTCTTTGGGATATTTCAGAGAGAACAGAGTTATTTTTTTCCTGCTGGAATAGGACACAAGAACAGTTGCTTCTGCTCTAAGGCTTATTACAATGTACTGTGTGTGTGGATTGAACAGCAGTCCCAGATGTGCCAACGTCGATGTTGTTTGGCATTATAGTGACCACAAGGACATATGTGTAGGTACTTTAACTGCTGAATAAGCCTGAATTAGGTTGACTGCTGTTAATCACACATTCTTTAACCATAACAACTGCATAAATGCTACCTTTCAACTCTATTTTTCCTAAAGAGTACCCAGTACTGTCTGAAGTTTATGAATACCATATCATCTGGCAGGTATAAGCAGGCAAATTATACTATTCTATTGCCTGTACCTGCAGTTTTCTGTTGTATTAGGAAAATTTATGGCACTGATTTATCTTGATATTTGTTTGTAAAGTAAGTGTCCTGAAAATCTAATAAAAGTGTCCATCATGAAGCTATGGTAACCATGCTGCAGTAACTAGCATCAAGACATTAGGAAGCTGGAACCAGGTTTTGCATACATTATCTCTGTAGAAGTTATTTCATGCCTGTTGCAAGATTTCTAAAATGACACATAACAGCAGAATTGCCTAGGTGCAGGCACTTCTACAAGACAGCCTCACTATCTGCAAAGGCCAGCTATGCTTCTTCATTTTCCTCCTAAATCTTACTGCTGCACTAGATTGTGTAATCAGACAAGAGCTTTCAGGCTGTTAAGCTAAGCTAGTAGTGTCATGTACTCCTACAGGATCAGAAACAAAATAAAAGTTATGTTTTTCTTCTCATGAACCAGCAGTAAGTTTTCAGTGTCTTTCAACAGCATCAGTTAAACTTTTCTCCAACTCAGAGCAAAGGTTTATAACACTCTTGAGGATGCTAATGCCAAAATTATAAAGACCCAACTCAATGCTTTTTCAAATAAGAATGTACAAAAGATAAACTTTTACTACATTTTTTCAAGCATCTCAAAAAAAGTAGAGAAATAACAGAGGAAATCCTTAAGGACATTGTGATCACAGCATTTAGAAGCTAGTTAAGTATGGTTTAAGATTTGATATTGATTCTCTAAAAACACAGCTTGGTGTATGAAGCCATAAACCACTTCAAATCTGCTGTATAAATGACATATACCATTCCATGCTGTCACTGTTAAACACAGGAGCATACTGGGACTTGCTTTAACAGCTCTAGTCTAATTATCAGCTTTAAGTTTTTCAGCTCACTGAGTTTTGTATCAGCAACCAGGCACAGCTGATATGCTCAGTGATTTTCTGTTGCCCTGTCCAAGGCTGTTCTTCTCACAAAAAAATATTTCATATATGTTCAGGTCAGACCAATGGCCTCAAGCCCCGAGTGCCACGGAACTTAGTCCTTGCTAAAGCTTCGCCACAGCAAAGCCACTAAACCACATCCTTCAGTCTCCAGTGTAGGTGCAATTCTAGCCACAAGATGTTGTCTCTCTTAATATCATTTGCAAATTATTTGTGAATACTGAAGGCCACACCTAACCTAGAATCTCATCTCCAGCAGTAACAAGTACAGAGCATTTTGAAGAAAGGGGCAAGAGACCCCACCACACAGTTTAATCGATTTGCTAATTGAAGAGCAGTTAGTGATGGTTTCTGGAGGTACTGCAGCATCATATTTTTTCTGAATTCAGATTGAGTTTTTAGAAATATTTTTCTTTTAGAAGCATTTTTCTTCAGCCAATCAAATGCTGTAGGTAGAGGTATTTTTTTAAATTCACTTTATGTTATTCCCTTTCATTCAACAAATTACTTGAAAGAGCAACATCTTTTAGTTATTTAGCTGTTCAGGAACTATCAGTAATCACATTACCATCACATAAAAGATGCAGCTCCAAGTTCATTTGCAGAAATTAATATCTGCAAATCAACTTGGAGCTGCATCTTTTGTGTGATGGGAATGTCTGTGTATGAAAACATGCATGTCAGATTTTCCAAATGGGTATGATTCCCAACCAGAGGGAAAAAAACAAATGCACAAACAATCCCAGTGTGGAATCTAAGTGCAAGTCTGTAAAATATATCAGCAGGTGCATGCAGGTATGTATAACTCCTGTATGCACATTGCAGTGTATGCACATTCTGTCTTTCTGTAAATTTCAAAATGTGTTATTCAGAAACATTAGCCATAAGCAAATAAAATTAAGTAAGTTGTTGAACCATCAAGCTAAAATAATTTCTTTTTATTCAGACATATTTTTTATTCTCCCAAAAACTGAAGTTTTCCTTCTTTTCCTACCTGAAGAAGTTCTTACTAAATTTTTTAGTTACCTAACCAGAAAAACAGTGGTTGGGCTAAACACATGCAAGAACACACTGTATTTACATTTTGGACTCAGTTTCTCAGTCACTAACCTCTTTTTGTTGGATCTTGTATTTCTTACTATTTGTCGTCTATTCAGGCATCTTGATCTTCAGAACAGATTGACAAACATAAATTGAGAATAAGCTGAAATGCTCTTCTAAGTACTGTAACAAAATATGCTGAGCAAATCAGTATTGGGTTACACCAGCAGCAGCAGTATAAGAAATGAACTGGCAGAGTGGCCCTTCTCTCATAATTCTCTGTTTTAGTACGAGCTACTATGACAGCTGATGAGTTACATAGTGAATGCTAGTCTTCATAATTAAAAGTTTGCTTCCATTACAAATAAATTTAGAAATAAAGAAGATCCAGTCTTTCCCAAGGTTAAAATTGGTGTTTTCTTCACATCAGTTACAGTTTAAAGTTATGAAATAACATGCTGTTCCTTGCCTTACTGCTCACTCTAATCAGCATGGGCCTAGAAGATTACACATGGTCCTTTCTTTTTTCCTCTTCAGACATTTTCAGTTGGCAGACAAAGTCTTTAGATATCACAAGGTTAAATAAAGACATTACTAATGCTGGAAATTATTTTTAAAAATATCAAGTATCTAAACATTCTTCCATCCTGAAAGGCCCATATAAAAGATACAAGTATTTTAGCTACAAATCAGACTTTTAGTTTATTAACACTTCTATTTAAAATACAAAAATTTCTCTGTGTGAATGTCACAGGTCTCATTTGGTCTAACATTGCAGCAGATGGAGCAAGCAAGTGAAGCAGGGAAAAATTGAAAGGCAGAAATGGATACAACAGGGTAGCTCAGAACATACAAAAAATGATACCATCTATATCCTCTATCATACTCAGAAAAAGTCTTAGTCAAGGTGAGAAAATGTAAAACATATTACTAAAGCTGTGATAATAAACCTTCTAACATATTTCAGTAAAACTGAGCAAAGATGTGCTTTTTAGTTGATTCATTCTGGACTGAAATTTTGGAATGTGCAAGATACTTTTCCTCACTGGTTCTTCTCTCAGCACAGCTGTAAGAGTGATAGAGTAGCAGCTTTATCTCATATTAAATACAAATTCCTATACCAACACACCTGCTCACCATTTCTTGGCCTTTGGCTGCCTTCATCTTCCCTTCTGGTACCATTTTCTTCACGCAAAGGTCTAAAGAGGACAAACCAGAGAACTTTCTGCTTTTTTCAAAATTGCATACTTGATTCTTCCATTCCTTCTCCAGGAGAAAATTACAGTCCCTAACTACTGAACCATCATTTTCCTGACTCAGTTAATTTTACCCTGTTCTTAACATCTTTATAGTGCAACAAACCAGCTACAGTTCCTCATGGCCCAGCCTCAGCATGACTAACCCTGTAAAATTACATTTTACTCTGACCCTTTCCTGAAAGGATTGAGAAAAAAACCTGTTTTGTGTACAAAATGATCTTGTTTCATGTGCCTGAGTCATTGTACTCAAATGAGAGCTCAAGTGTGTCTTCTTCGGCATCTTTTGTATACCCTGGAAAAACAAACAAACAGAAAAACTAAACAAAAACCCTCCAGACGGTGAACAGAGGGAGCAGCCTTAAATCAGAATCAATTAGGTTCATTTTATACAGTATACAAATAA